TAGAAATTCTTTGAAATTCAAACTGAGAATCCAAGTGACTCATGAGATTGAACAAAGAAAACAGGAATTGATGGAACATTTATGCACCTAAACTTAATTTAGTGAGCTTGGAAATTACTTTCCTACGGCAGAAAGATACATACATATTCGGTAACAGTCTTGGTAAAGGTTAAAGTTCTGCAATTATTTCCTTTCCCTTGCTTTGTGAAGTGTGAAAGGGCTGTTGAGCTTGGCCTCAAGGAATTCATTTCAGCTGAGCACAAGACTTACTAGTGTATATAATCTGAATGCTCATGATTTTTGCAGCTCTTGGGGTTGTCTAGTTATCCAAAAGGCAGCAGGCATTTCCACAGAACACCTTGTGAAGGATTCAATGACAGCTCACTTGATGAGCATCACAATTTTGACTCTTCTGTGGAGTTTACCTCTCTCCTACCTGCTAATGACCGACAAGCTAAGTCAAGATGCTGAACAGGAATCAATTTAAGGCTGCTGCTGAAGTAATAATATCCTTTACCAACATGATCCACAGTATTTTAAGTGAGGTTTCACATGTACTATAAACAGCATCATGGAAGGACCATTAATAAGCATCTGTGCTATTTTAAAACAACAGGTGGTGAGATCGTTTCACCAAAGTTATGTGCTCACCATATGTGTAAGTGGAAATACTGTAGGAGGTAGAAGGCAAATGAGTGAATAGTTAGCAAATATACATATTATATAATATATATAATTATATGGATATATTAAGATCTATATGATCTCATTAAAGCTGCAGCACATTTCATGGGCTAGCTAACAGCTGCCAAAATAACTTCAATATACCTTTGAATCCTTTGGAATAGTTGCTAGAACAAAAACGTGACAAAAAGAAGCAGTCAGAGTAAGAGAAACTAAGACTGTATGTTGGCATTAGACCCATTTGCCTCTAACATGTGATGAACCATTGGGACATGAGTGCAGACAAGGATACAGAACTGTGCAGAGAGCAGGCAGTTGCCATAAAGGCAAGTTAAATTCCTCATGAGTCCTGTAAAGCCAAAGAACAGCAATGCAGCCAATTTTTTATTTCATTTTAATAAGGTTAGAAAAAAACCCAAATTCTGCTAGAGAGAACCACACCCCAGCTGACATGGAAATTCTTCTACTGCAGCTCTTCCTCACAGTTCATGTTTTATACTTAGTTCGACCAGGGAAGAAGAGCAGAGATACCCTGGAATCACTTTACAATCACAGAAATGTGACCAGCTCAGAAATGCAGCGTGTCTTCAGTATTTTAGGGAAGACAAAACCCACTATCATATCTTATTGGTTCTACGATAAGAATTAAAGGAAAAATAAAAGAAATTTTTTGTTCTGGCACTTGGCTGGGACATTTGCACCAACTGTCCTATAAGAGTTCATTTTGTGTTACTTTCTCCTCCTATATCATTATATTTTGAGACTAGAAATGTACTAGAAACATACAGGTCTTGTACAACCAGATCCTTTATTTTATAGTGTTATCTTAATAAAGTAATTTTCTAAGAGTAGACAATATTGAAGTTTTCTCAAAGCTAGTCTCTCAACACATCATGAAAGCAATACATATAAATAGATCCATACTTTTGCTGCTGTTTACATGCAGTCCCCTTCAAGGGAAAGGCTTCAACCAGCTTTCTTTTGCAAGAAGCATACATGAACTCGGCATTTCCATCTCCATATTTCATATTAAACTCAGGGGCTCATTATCCAGGTTGTGAAGCACTGACTTACTTGAATGTGTCAAATTCAAAATAAGATTATCAATACCTGTCTTGTTGCCACCACTAATATACTATAAATGGATACAACTCTTAGGTCTCTTTAATGATTGCTACCTTTGCAGTTTACTGAGCACGCACATAAAGATCCTCTATTGACAGTTAATCCAACAAGGAATCCATTTGCATAGTAGGAGACAAAGTTTCAGTTTGTGCCTGGCATTTATTTTCAGAAATAATTTCTTTCTCTCCCAGAAACACGAGCTATTGCACATGAAGGACATGCATTTTGAAAGTGTGAATGCATTTCTTCAAAATAAAAATGGTATCACTAATGCTGAAATATCCTTGATTGTTTGCACATGCTAAAGTTTTAAGTTAATTGTGTAATATCTGTCCCCTCCTACCCTGCTCAAGCCTTTTTAAATAGAATTCTTAAATTGGAAAAAATAATCCAACTGAAAGCCTAGTAACAACACAAGTGAAAAATGACCTGCTTGCTCTGAGGCATGGTTATTTCAGTTAGTTCAAACAGCACTTGGTAACATCACTTGTAAAATTTTCATAATAATAGAAAATATATTCAACTAAAGTGTTTCATCTCAGCCCTTGGAAAGGACCAGAAGTGAAATCAAACCTCTGCAACTTCAAGTGCATTCAAGGTCACTGGGGTTTCCAGTTTGTTCTACTAAGGAAACAAGCCTTTTGCAAACATTCCCATCTGGTCCCCACTAATAAAACTGGGTAAATGAACCTGCCGGTTCAAAGGCTGACAGCAGCCTAGAAACCTCAAAGATAATTAAGCTCTTGCATATCTAAAGAACAAACCCAGATGAAGTATTCCAAAATAGCAGAACCTCTGAGGAAAAAGACAACCAAATCTCAGCTGCTACCCAGTCTGTCTGGCACCAACCAGCTGGCCAACTAGGCTGTTCTTCCAGTCACTGGTGCTGTTGCCCCAGACCAACCGAAATAAAGATGCTTTCCTTTGGCTGGCAGAAGTATGGAAAGTTACAGTAACAGAAGGAGCAAGAAGAGTTGTGGGAAAGAAATCTGTAGGCAGTAGATTTACACCGCTTACACCATGGAACTAGACTCGCATTGATAATCAGGTATACTTTTTCTTCTATGGACACGTGCGCATTACACCACCTGCCTTTAGAGTACACAAGATAAAAACAAAAGCAATTCAAGCTTGCAGTGGCGTTCTTGGTCTTGCTTCATCTCTGTTACCATATTAAGAAAAGTTAGTTTTTTAAGAATAAAGAGTCTTGAAAAATTAGGTTTGCCAGGAAGCATGAAGAGCTAAATTTGCTGTGATAACACTGTGTCAATATTAGTGAGTAGTCATACTAACCCTAGCTTGCACCAACGGCCTGGGGGGCCATTAGTTGATTTCTTCACTCTGGTAAAGAAACTGACTTGATATGGATTGGGCGGCCTAATATGTGAAGCATCTGAACCCAGCTACATGGTTTCTTTTTTAAACCAAATGCAACTAGAGAAGAACATTGCAGCTCTGAAACTGTCTGCCATGCTTAATTCTAGAAAGAAAAAAACAATAGAAATGTCCTAACCAATGCTTCACAGTTTTTACAGGAACAAAATAAATGCATGGTTGATGAAAGACACAAGTTTGACAAAACTTTGTTGGTTTTTTCTCCTAGTTTGAAATACATACATTACATGTACAACAACTTAAAGCAACAAGCCTATACAGGATCATAGTTAATGACTGTGCCCTGAAGAAAAGATCTGTCTGGTGGACTGATTTCTGACTCTGCAGTTCATCACTCTTTGTTTCAGCCTTGTGAAAGCTCAATTGTTTTTTTATACACATTTTCTGTCTCTGTAGCTGTCACTTGCCTTCTGTGTACCCAGCAACAGTACAGACTGCATTTAAATATCTTCCCAGAAATAATGACAACAAATAAAGCAACTCCCTGTTACCTCCCTAAGGATTACTTGTGCCACTCTAGCACCATGACCAGAGGCTTCAACCACAACCAAAACCATCTGAGCTTCTGTGAACCCTTAGGTAACAGGATCCTCGAAGATGAGCTACAGGTAAATAGACATTGAATAAAAAAACAACCTTCAGCTTTCAGTATCCTGCTTCCTTTTTCATTAAGAACAGATTAATTCCCAATTCTTTACTTCCCAGAGACACAGTCATTGCTTTCATTTCCAAACCACACAGAGCCATTAACCATTACATACGCAGATAGTGTCTATTCTAATGAGCTGTCTCTGCACACCTCCTGTATTGCTATACCTGCTTTAGGGCAAGTTTTCTTTTTTAAGCCAGAACAAACTTAAAAAATAAAAACAAACCAATCAACAAAAAATAAAACCAAACCAAAACAACCCAAAAAGAACCACCAGTGTATCAGGCACAAAAATAGGTCAGGCAAATTTTTTTACCTTCTCAATTCCAAAATACCACTCATTTGATGTTAAGACCTATGCATGTACCACAATGTGCAATGTTAACAGCCAAGCTAAATATGCATACATTCTTGTTTTTTTCCGCTTGTACAGGTAACATGATAGAACAGCAATTCACTAATTCTTCCATTAACAAACAAATGCATTTGAATTTTGATGCTGTTTTGATAAAAACATATAAAGGGAAAAAACCACGCAAGTCGTGATAGAAGACGACAGAATCCATTTTGGTGTAAGGGCCGGTTCCCTAACTTCTACACTCTTTAGTTTCCTGTGTTCGGCGACTTCCAAATCCAGGGATGTGCATGAAATTACATCTTTTTTTTTTTTGCTTCTGTTCCCCTGAAGCCCTTCTGCCCTAAGATGTCTTCCCCGTCACTTGAGGCACGCGCATCGGCCCGGGCAGAGCGCGGGCAGCGCGGGGCGCAGTTCCGCACCTGTCGCATCCCTCCCGCTCTCGCCCCCGTCCTGCGCTACGCCACCGACACGGTGCCCCGGCGCGGGCACGGAGAGCAGCCCGAGCGGCAGCTGGCACCGAGCCACCGCACATCCTGGCCATGGAAGATAAAACGCACCACTGTGGCGCTTCAGAGAGCGCAGCCTTGCCGCTTTTGGGATAACCACGGCAGAAGGGAAGAAAGGAGAAGAGGAGGAAGCTACGAGCCCCAGCCCCGCTCCAGAGGGTGCCCGGGCTGGGCAGAGGGCAGGGCCGGGGCGGGGGGCTCGCAGCGGCAGCGCCGCGCTCCTCCAGCCGGGCAGCGCCGCAGCGCTCGCCGCCCGCCCCCGCACCCGGCAGCTCCCGCTCACCTTTCAGCGACCGGCTCAGCGCATCTTCCTCCCTCCCTCCTTCTCTCCCTCAGCGGCTCACTGGTAGCGGCCCAGAGCCCTCGGGCTCGGCGGGTGCCCGGCGCTGTTCCTCCCTCAGCCGGCGGCAGCTCCCGCTGTCACTTCACCCCCACATCCCGCCGCCGGCGGCGGCAGCTGCTGCTCCTAAATTCACGGCGCTCCGGCGGCATGAAGTCATCCTCCCCGCCCCCTCCGCGGGCCGCCGCACTCCGCTCCCGCCGCGGAGGGGGAGACGGCTCCGCCGCCCGGCGGCCCGAGCCCCGCGGGGCCCTGCCTCTCCACCCGCCCCGGAGGGAACGCCGCTCCCGCGGGAACACCCGTGCCCGACTGCCCGGGAGCCTGCGAGGGGCGGTACCGTCTCCCGGGTGCGGTGGCGGTCCGGGGGACCCTCCCCAGGCACGGCGGCGGGATGGGCCGCTCCGCCCCGCGCCCGCCGTGCCCTCCCGGGACTCCAATCCGCGGGCGCGGGCAGCACGGCGCTCCCGCCCGGCCGCTGGGGCCGGCCCGCTCCGGCCCCGCTGCTCGGCACCGCCCGGCCGGACCGCGCTGAGGGCGGGGATCGCGGGACGGCAGCTCCCGCCGCGCTGCGAGGCCGGAGCCAAGGGAGAGCGTTCCCGGGGAGAGCTGTGTGCCTGGGTCTCGCCGTTTGAAGGAAAATTGGCTGTAATCCCTCGTGCTCGTGGGCGGGCTGTTCCTTCTCTCACCTCCCGGCCTCAGGACGCTCCTCCTGAGCTCGTGCCCCTAAAAAATGCAGGGCTCCCTGGGATGCTCCAGGAGACCTCCTCTGGCAGTGGCTCCTGATCTGTGCCTGGAAGGCGACAGCAGAGCACAGGCACTGTGCTCAAGGTCACCTGGGCAAACTTCCCCCTTACCAAGGGCGTCCTGATATTTCTGAGACCCAGCAGTAGGCAGCATTTCTATTTTTGTTACTTACAGAGTGCTGTGCACGTACTGAGTGACCGACAGGCTTGTAAAGAAGGCCGGATTCCTATCACAGTTTACAATCCCATGACACATCCCATGTGCACGACAAGCACAGCTATGTTGGTACATAAACAACACCAGACAGTCTGGTTTGGATGTCACCAAATGCATGTCACTGGTGCATGCCAAATCATTGTAGTCTGAGAGCTCTTCATATCTTAAGAGCAAGTCAGGGTTGTGTCTGGTCAAGAGAAGCTATGCTGGATGAGCTCCCAGGAAAAACAACCACAGGAGTTTCCCAGGTGCTGTGCCTCAGCAAGGTTTTGGAGTAGACTCGTGTTGGAAATGTTGATGGTCTCCATTGTGGTAAGGTCTGAAACATGAAGAGCTGCTTCAGTGGCAGTGGGTATAGGTAGGAAGATTGTATGTAGTGGTAGAGGAAAACAGCAAACATAGAGTTCTTAGTCTCTCAGATAAAATACAAAAGCTCTGAACCTAAGTTCCCTTTTGGAAATTCATTGTGTTTATTTTTATGGAGGTTTATGGTATGGCTTTTCACCTGTGCAGTTCTACAGTTGCTCTGTTTTGGGCTGCTCCTGTTTACTCCCTGCTTTGAACCTCTTCTGTTGATTGGCGTTGCAGGCCTGAATGCGCAGCACCGGCAGCATCTCAACAGTATTTCTTAATCTCAGTTGATTTGGCAGTGTGTTAGGTTAGGTGATTGTAGGTTCTTCTCCACATGCACAGAGGAGTTTAGGGGCACTTGGGCAGGTGGGAGAGCCAGGTCGGGCAAAGGGAGCCCATGCCCAGCCTCTCCCAGGGAAGCCTGAATTCCCATGGAGGTGGGGGACACACCCAGCAGTCAACCAAAACTTTCTGTGTGGGTGTTACTGCCTAGCGTCGTCAAATGGACAATGGAACATTTTGGGATTAAGATTTATGAGATGTTCAGGGAAAGAACCAAAGATGAGGAAAGGAAGGGATCAAGGTGATATAAGAATGCGCGCATGTGAGAAAATAGTGGGATGAGGAGGTAAATAGGGAGGTAAATAGCAGTTCGTTTACACGCACGTCTGGTGTAAACGAACTGCTGGTCAGACTGCTTGTCTGGCTATGCCCTGCACCTGGTGAGCTCAGTCTCTCCTGGACTAGTCTCCTAGACTAGACTCTGTTTCTAAACCTCACTGTGTGAGAGGTTTCCCTGTGCTATATATGTGCCTCTGCATGGGTGTAAGTGCCAGCAGCAGGAGTCACACCTCAGGTTACAGGGACTCATGCCAGAGGGGAGGACAGGATTTCACCGTTCATGCCATCTGTGTTTGATTGAGTGTTTCTGTCTATGTTGATCTGTGTGGTTGTCCTTGTGCTTATATATATATATATATATATGTATTTGTGTGTACACACTTTCTGTGTGTGTATGCCTTTTAGGAGTATGTGTTCAGACTTGCTACTGACTGGGCCTAGGAAAACGTTGCTATGGCAGCCTCTCTTCTATTGGGCTATATGGTTCAGCAACTCATAACACAATTCGCTAAATGATTAGCATACTAGAAAATCCTAGATCTGTGCAAAAGCAGGAATTATTAGTATTTAATTTGTATTGTTTCTTTGGTAGCAGTAAATTCCAGAGCCAAGAGAAGTAAATGCTCTTGGCCCCAGGGTTTTAATTAGTATTATTCAATATACATGATTGCAAAAACAAGGCAATGAGTGAGACACATAGGATTTTATGTAAGTAGAAAAAACATATAGATATTCATCATTTAGCAACATTCAAAAAGCCTGTTTTAGTAAGAGGATATAATCTTTGATTTAGCAATCATGGGTTCAATCAGTTTTAAATGAATGTCAATGTAAATTGATTGAAACCCATGCACTTCAGCTTTAAAAAGTATGCTGTAGGGAAGCTAAATATAGCTCTTGAATATCTGAATATAGCGAAAGTCTGGAAATGTCTTTAGTAAGTGGGACTATTGTATAAGGAAGACTGCTTATTTGCAAAGGGAGTGACTTCAAACAGGATTACAGAAGTAGTAGGAGGAGAAAGTTGTGTCTTAGTGGTTAGAAACAGAAAGGATGAGGTGAGATTTGCCAACATTCGAATTAAATTAGATTGTTAAAATAAGTAATAAACAGAAAAAGGTGCATCACTTGTAAAAATGTAAAGAAATCGTGAAATGAAGAAGTTGAGCTTTTTTTTTTAAGTGAGGAAGGGGTGAAAAATCAAGGCTCTCTTACTTGAACTGAGTACTGGCTTTCCTGATAATTGCTGACTGGAGTAAAAGGTGAAGCAAAAGAAAAACAATGAAGGGGAATAAATGAATCTGTACAAATGAATGTTACTGTTTTCACAGGGAGATTAAAATCCAGAGTGTGTTCAGAGGAGTAAAGCTCCATCTAAATTTGTGAAGTCAGAGGTGCTGTCCCATTCTTGGAGATTGTCAGATAGTATCAGTATTTATGAAATAGAGACCTAAGAATTCACAGTTACATGGCCTAATTGGCGATAGCATGCAACACCACAGAGCCAGTAGTACAGGAACATAAGAAGAGACAAGGACCACTGCACACAGGCTTCTTTAAAGTTTATACTCCTGAAACTAGAGAAAATTGGTTGTACTGAGTATAAAAAAAGAACTCTAATCTCCCATCTACTTTTTTTTTTCTGCCTAAATAGTCTACTTCTTATGGATCTGCTTATGTGGCAATTATTTGTGTTATTTTCATGTCTTCCAAAATGCAGATTATTTGTGAGTTTCTGCAGTGCAAGCCAATGTGCTGTTTCCTGAAGAGCAATAGATTATATTGCAACTGTTATAAACAGTTATTATAACTGTTATAACCAGTTTGTTTGTCAGTTTGCTGTAAGCTGTTTTTTTTCCTTTTTATATTAAACTGAGTACTAATGTACCCTTTAATAACAGGGTTTTTCTGGATATCCTCAGACTGCATTTAAAAGAAAGCAAGACAATGAATAAACAGTTCTTATGAATTTTTGCCAATTTTTTTAACAGATGTGGGCAAAATTTTACATAAACATTCAAAAAATGACTGAAAAAAACAATTGTCACATGTCAGCAGCAGTGCAGTTTAAGATACTGAGCATTATTTTATGGTTCCCATGGAGAATATAGTATAGTAGAGTAGAGTAATATTCCTACTGGATATCAAAACAGTCTTACTCATGTTGAAATACAATGTAGGAGTGCATCATAAGAACCCTTAGTTATACCCTGTAATAAGTTAATATCCAGCTGATCCATATGTTTATTTGAAGTAATTTCAGATCCCACAAATAAAATTATGCACAATATAAAAATTGCTGTAGGCTTTCTACTGAGAAAAGACAATATTTAAAAATATTGATTTTGGAAGCATGGTGTCTGTAAATATTTTTTAAAAGCAAGTAGATTAAGCTGGTTTTCTGTGACCACTGTTTCACTTCCTTACTCTTCTTTTCTTTCTTTATTCTTTTTTTCCATTATGGCTTTATAAGCTCTTAAGTAAATTAGGTAAATTAACACATCTTGTTCAATTGGTTGGGGTGTAATATATATGCCAAAAACAGTGACTCAAAAGTACCGTGATGAAGAAGAATATTGCAAGATGAACTGCAATGTCAGCAATATTCAAATAGACTTTATAACTGAACCAATATCAAGAAAACATTTTTAAAGTAATGATATAATTTCAAATAATTTTCCAATTATTTCAAAACCATTTGTGAGGGAATAATTTTTAAAGTAAATTCTGGTTGATCATTTAACAAGAAAAGAAGATGAATTCAAAAGCATTCAGTATATTTTTTTCTAATCTTCAGCAATAGTAAATTTGAAGTAATATGATCTGGTTGTACATAGTTCAGAATAACCAAACTCTGGATGCAGACAGTCTCTGCCAGTGTTTCTCAGTATCCTCCTCTTAGTGCTAGTTGCTTGTTTTCTTAGACTGAAATTTTCAAGGCAGGGACTGTTAAAGATTCAGTTTGTACAACATTGTTAGGCATGAGCAAAATGCATGGATAATAATTTATGGCACTTACCAATACTGTGAACTTTTGACTTCTGTGCACAGGACTCAGCTGCATCCTCAGCTGCAAGTTTCTTCAGCTGACAGTCATGGGAGTTGTGTGTGCACAGGGGCAAGCCTGGCCCTTAGCCTCCTTGACGTCAGTAGGAACAGATG